GCCACTTTCAAGATTTTATCTTTGTTGTTGTCTTTTGAAAATTTGATTATAATGTGTCTTGGTGCAGGTCTCTTTGAGTTCATCATACTTGGAGTTTGTTGAGCCTTTGGATATTTATATTCATGTCTATTATCAAAGATGGGAATTTTTTAGCCATTACTTTTTTTATATATATATTCTCTCTGCCTCTTTCTCTCTTCTCCTTTCAGGACACTCGTGATGCACATGTTCCACCTATGATGTCCCTCAGGTTAGATGAGCTCTCTGCTTTTTTCCATTCTTTTTTATTTCTGCTCTTCAGCCTTGATAATTTCCATGGTCTTATCTTCATGTTATGGATTCTTGTGCAAACTCAAATATGCTTTTGAATCCCTCTAGTGAATTTTAAATTTAAATTATTAAATTTTTCTACTCCAGAATTTCTTTGTTTTTTTCTTAAGGCTTTTTCATCTCTTTATTGATATTTCCATTTTGTTCACACATCATTTTCTTGACTTTTTCCACATCTTCTTTTAATTCTTTGTGCATCTGAGAACAGGTTTTTTTTTTTTGTTTGTTTGTTTTTTTGTCTGTCTAATATATCTGTCATAAAGTATTTTTTCAGGGACAAATTCTGTTGAATTTTTCTTTTTCTTTGATGGGCCATGCTTTTCTGTGTTTTTGTATGTTTTATGATTTTATTGTTTTTGAACATTGGACAGTTGAATCTAGTAATGTGGTAACTCCCAGAGTTTTTATTTTTTGTTATTTTTTTGTTTTATTTTTGTAGGCTGTTTCTATACTGAGGATCAGGCTGAGTTGTAAACCTAATGTCATCTTAAGTTTTATTCTCAGCCTTTCCTTAGGCATATACAGTCACTTTTAATTTTTCCCTAAATATGCAGTTGTTTTTGAATGTTCTAGTCTATATATATACGTTATTGAGCTCAGAGAGGAAAGGAGAGGGAGAGACAGAAGCATCAATGATGAGAGAGAACCATTGATTGGTTGCCTCCTGCATGCCCCCTACTGCAGATTGAGTCTGCAACCTGGGCGTGTGCCCTTGACCGGAATCAAACCCGGGACTCTTTATTCTGCAGGCCAACGCTCCATCCACCGAGCCAAACCAGCTAGGGCAGAATCTTCTAGTCTTTAATATGTAGCCCCTGAAAGGAGAAAACAACAAATGAAGGGCAATTAATAAGAGGGAGTGTCCCTTTAAATCCCCTGCAAGTCATGTCAGCTGGAGGGGAAGGGATTACAAAATGGGAGGAGATGCAACATCTGCCCACCTCTTTGTCAGCACCTCTATGTTTAGAAGAAACAATCAGGAATCAGAGTGCAGATCCCCAATATTGGAGGACAGAGTCATTTTTACCCACCTTAGCTCCCACAAGCTGTGTGCAAGCTGTTCCAGGAAGTGCACAGCTGCCTGCCTTGTGTCTGGTGGTGGTGTATGGGTAGCTCCTCCTGTGCTAAGAGCTATACTTGACAGAAATTAACCATCCAAGCCTTCTCCTGAAAGTTGCAAGCCTTCAACAGACCCCAGAGTTTCAAACAGTGTAATTGTCTAGGTGGAGAACAGATTCCTGGTGCTTCTTGCTTCTCCATCTTTCCCAAGTCGTGTGTGTGTGTGTGTGTGTGTGTGTGTTTAAACAGTTTGGAATTTCTTTTGTACTATAGTATGAAAAAAGTACTTAAGTCAAGGATGAACAAACTTTTTCTTAAAGGGCCAGGTAGTGACTCTTTTAAGTTTGTGGGTCATATGACCTGTGCTGCAGCTTCTCAGTTCTGCCAGTGTAGCACAAAAGCAGCCATAGACAAATGAATGAATGAATGAATGCAGTGACCCTATCTCAAGAAGCTTTATTTACAGTAATAGACAGTGGACTGGATTTGATGCTTAGGCTATATTGAGTTTATCGACCCATGCACTGAGCTCTTCATCCCTGTCAAAAATTGAAGAGTCTGAAATTTTACTGTACTTGAAAGCTAATGAGTTAGCCTGCCACAGTTTCATGGATAGTGGCAGAGGGTAAGGACAGTTTGTTTCTCATAATAATAGCAGTAGCCAGAATATCATTTTCTGGTTCTTGAGTCCTAGTTCCAATAAAGCAGCACTGTGGGGGCCAGATATCATCTGTACATACGTTATAGGAGCGGACCCCCACACTTGGGGAATATGAATCTTTTATAATTGGGAATAATTTGGCTTGGCCTTTCCCTTTGAGAGACACATCTTTATTATACTGGACAGTAGGCATAGCTATCATTTTGCTGCAGAAAGAGATACTATCTCCCAAAGCTATTCATTATACAAACCCTTTTGAAGAGTCTAGAATAAAGAGTCAGTGCCTCAAGACATTCAGAGAGACCCATTGAGTATTATATGCCTCCATTCTTCTCCCTGTATCTCTGTTTCCAAATTGATGTGCACAGAGCCTGCCTGTGGTATCTTGCCTTCATTCATTGTGGCTCTGCTAGGCTACAGTTGTATTTTCTCAGGCTCTTATTTACCTCAAGGATAAGAATTCATGGATTATTGAATCTGAGGCTATCTATATTTTCCCTTCTCGATTCTTAACATGAATTCTAAGCATGTGTTGCTCTCCAGTCTTTTTCTTTTCTACCTTGATCCTCCACTAATTTTTAGATGTGGGAGCACTTCCTTTGAAAATGTGATGTCTGAGGAATTCTGGTTTGGACAAGATGGCATCAACTCTTCATATTCCCTGCGCCTTCCTAACACGCGCAATTCTAAACCATGAAAAACACAAACGGGAGCCAAACAAAAACTCTGAAAGGCAGTAAGAGGAAGCCTGGCTGGTTTGGGACCCAAGACAGAGGAACAACAGCAGCAGGATGTCTTACGTCTCCCAGCTAAAGAAGAAGGCAATATCCTGATCCTTGATCTTGCAACAGATGGCCACCAGGGAGGCTCATTCTTCCCCAATATAGAATGGGAATCTCTTCGACAAGATCAGGGGAGACCGGTACCACTGGGAAAGAGGTTCGATTGGGGACAATAACAATAAGCAGTTGGACAAGTACTCTCCTTTCCTGCTAGACATGCAGTTCCCCTCTCCTGCCAAAAGATACCAAGGTAGCCAAATAAAAGTGAAATGATAGAGATCCCTTCCCACCACCTAAACCTTGTAACAAGTGACCTGGCCAAGAAATGCTCTGCTTTCCTCCTGGGCCTGGGGCTTCCTTCCTTCACTGAGGGATACATGGCGACTGGAGGCTCTGTCTTCTGCATCACGTACACAGCATGCTTGGGTACATTCACTACTCAGTAAATAATGAAAATACACACGTCTTCAACTGTTTCTCCATTGGCATGATAGTGGAAATTACTCGGTGTTTGGGATGTGGTGGACTTTTAGTTTTCAGTGCTATTTACAAGATTTGAATGTTTTCTTTGCCTTCTTGGATATTTTATTGGAAATTTTTAGGAGTTTGCAAACACCATTATCCTGAACAATATTTTTCTTCCTTCACTCCTTTTTTTGCTCTTAATGTAAATACATTTGACACTTGAACAACATGGAGGTTGTTCCCTAACCCTGACAATCAAAAACCTGTGTGTAACTTTGACTTCCCCAAAACTTAAACTATTAATAGCCTATTGTTAAACTTAAACTATTAATAGCCTATTGAAGCCTTACCAATAACACAAATATTATAGTTAGTTAACACATATATTGTGTGATATATGTATATTATACTGTATTCTCACCACAAAATAAACTAGAGAAAATCAAATGTTATTAGGAAAATTATAAGGAGGAGAAAGCACATATGCAATACTTATTGAAAAAAATTTTTCTCATCTAAGTGAACCTGCACATTTCAAACCTTTCTTTGTTCAAGGGCCAACTGCATTGAGATGGAGGGGGAAGTCCTTTTATCAGGACAAAAAAGTAAAAGACTTCCTAACCAACTGACGTAGTAATCAAGCTGGTAGATTTTATGTATAATTTTCTTTCATTGTGAACAGCATTATAATATTAGCACACTGACATGTAAAGTGTAATGTTTATACACATACACATGTATAAATACTACCTGATTGTATCTCCTTATTTGTTGTTGCTGTTGTTAATACCATGATATTTCATTTACTTAGGCTTCACTTCTCATTTATCTTAGAGGACTTCCTCTGTTTCGCCCTTCTGATCGGGAATGTCAGTGGTTGTACCTCTTTATACCCTATTTCTCTCCTCCATTGATATTATGGGCTGTCATTATGACTTCTCTTGCGTAAACTCCTCACAACTTTCCCTTTTACTGAAATCAAACCAATCTTAGTCAGAGCTTTTGGACAAATATATATATTTTTTACAGCAAAGGTGGAAATTTATTGAAGAACAAATACAGACTCCCAATAAGGAGGGGGAAAGGGTCCCCTTGACAAATATTTTTTATGATACCTTATAAAGCTTGATATCTTGCAGTATTTCTTCAAATTACCCTTTCTTACTGTTGTGGTTTTACCACTCATGTATTAAATAGTGTTGTTTTTAAAAATAATCTACTTGTTACACATGTGGCTTATTTCCTCCACAGTTTCAATATGTTCAAATTCTACTGTTCAGTTGACAAGGAATATGCTCCCAGTTGGATTCCCTTACCCACCCTTATTCTTCAAAGCAGAGATACTCTTTCATGTGACCGGCTTCTACATTTTCTGGAGACGGTGTTATCTATCCCTTTGCATTAAATATTTTTGAACTGATAATACAATATTTGAGACAGTTGGATGGATTTGAAAAATAAAAGTATAAATGATCCTTCCTATAGAGCTTTCAGAGTTAATGAATCCTGGGTTTATTTCACTGGGTTTTAGAAAATGCATATCATTATCAGAACACTATAATACTATAGTATTAATTCTATGCATTGTGCAGATGCTATTAGGGCTATTTATGGTTATAAAACACATGGTTTCTTAAAAATGATGCTTTGGTGTTTCTATGCTTTGAGGTTTTATTTCAATTATTTGTTTTTTTTTCTTACAGTCAATGCTCCGAGGAAGAGGAGGTTGCTATAAACATACATTCTATGGTATTGAAAGCCATCGTTGCATGGAAACCACCCCGAGCTTAGCATGTGCAAATAAATGTGTCTTCTGTTGGCGGTAAGTAAAAATAAATGGTCATGGTGGCCAAATATGTAATGATCTGTAATAATCAATTTCTGCCAAACAGGGCACTCAAATGTACCTGAAGCTTTGATGTTCCTGTAATTAATTCCTTTTCCATTCCTAATATTATATATTAATGCATATGTTTGGTTTTCTTGACCATTTTATCAGGGGCTTGTCAAGTTTTTTAGTCTTTTTGAATAGCTTGATTTTAGCTTTGTATATTCTCTTCATTATACTTTTACTTTTTTGTTCACTCATCTATTGTTTTTCTCTGTTCTTTTTTTAACTTAAATTGGACCATTAACTCAGTAATGTTCAATCTTCTATAAGTCTTTAATTATAAATTTTCCTCTAAGTATTCTTTAGCTACACTCCATCGATTTTGATTAGTTAATTATTCAATTGTAAATATTTTTTGTTTATATTTTTAATGGTCAGATATTAAACAGTCATAAATTCTATTCTTTGTTACTGTTTGTTTTATCATTATTTTGTAGTCCTTATTTATTTATTTATTTTATTTATTTAAAAAAAATATTTTATTGATTTTGTACAGAGAGGAAGGGAGAGAGATAGAGAGTTAGAAACATCGATGAGAGAGAGTCATCGATCAGCTGTCTCTTGCACACCCCCTACTGGGGATATGCCCACAACCAAGGTACATGCCCTTGACCGGAATCGAACCTGGGTCCCTTCAGTCCCCAAGCCGACGCTCTATCCATTGAGCCAAACTGGTTTCGGCTGTAGTCCTTATTTAGTAGTCCTCTTTACCCATAGTAATGTTTGTTGCCTTAAAGTGTGTATTTTCTGATTGTAATATAAATCTATTAGATTTCTTTTTTGTTATTAACAATTGACAGATCTTTTTTCTTTTCTTTATGCAATGTCAACCTTTATATGTCTTTATATTTTAGTTGTGTTTCTTATAAATAAGTGTTTGGCTGGATCAATTTTAAAAAATCTACTTTATTGAAGTTTTATTTACATATAATACAACCAAATGCACCTGTTTAAAATATACATCTCAGTGAATGTTGGTAAATGTATATATCTGTGTTACTGTGACTACAATCAAGACATAGAACATTTTTTTTTAAATATATTTTATTGATTTTGTACAGAGAGGAAGGGAGAGAGACAGAGAACTAGAAACATCGATGAGAGAGAGTCATCGACCAGCTGCCTCTTGCACACCCCCCACCGGGGACACGCCCGCAACCAAGGCACATGCCCTTGACCGGAACCGAACCCGGGACCCTTCAGTCCCCAAGCCGACGCTCTATCCACCGAGCCAAACCGGCCCCGGCAAGACATAGAACATTTTCATTATCCCTGGAGTTTCTTTTCATTTTCTGATTTGCTTTTTGACGATAAATATTACTGTGCTTTTTCTAGTAGTATAAACTATATAAAAACGAATCATTCAGTATGCATTTATATGTCTGTTATTTTTCCTCAGTAAAATATTTTTGAGATTCATCTATGTTTTTAGGTTTATCAATAGTTTGTTTCTTTCTGTTGTATGGTTTAGCACCATTTATTTATCTGTAAACCTCTAGTTGAGTACTATTTGAGTTGTTTCAAGGTTTTGACTTAATTATGAACAAAACTCCTGTAGACATTCATTTTTTTGTAGATAAATAATTTCATTTCTCTTGGTTAAACACCTGTGCATAGGATTGCTAGATTTTTAAAAGTTAGTTTGGACAATTTGTCTTTTAACTGGTGTTTTTTAGTTGGTCTTACAATGATTGATGTTTTTTTTTCTTTATTGATTAAGGTATTACCTATTTGTCCTTATCCCCCCATTGCTTCCTCCAACACCCCCACTCATGCTTTCACCCCCCTGGTGTTAGTATCTTGCATGTTGCTTACCTTTTCTATTAGAGTTTTTGACATATTAATTGTAGTTTGAAAAATTTCCTGTCAAATAGTGCCAACACTTATATCAAATGAGTTTGGTTTTGCTCAACTGGCTGGCTCACTGGTTGAGTGTTGCCCTATGAACAAGGAGGTCAGGGTTCGATTCCAGGTCAGGGCACATGCCTGGATTGCAGGCTCAATCCTCAGTGGAGGCAGCTGATCAATGATTCTTTCCCATGATTGCTGTTTCTATCTCTCTCCCCCTCTCCCTTCCTCTCTGAAATCAATTAAAAATATATATATGTAAATAAAGAGTTTGGTTTTGTTGATGCTTTCTATTAGAAGTGCATTGTTTTTCTTGCCTTTTTGTATACCTTATAAGTTTTTGTTTCAAGTGGGACATTTTGTTTAGTGCATGCATTAGAGACTGAGGTAAATGTTTTCTGTGTAAATGTTTGAAGTCGGCATGCATTTTCTTTCTGCTAGGCCTTTCTTGTTGGAGTTTGAGTTAACCTAGTCAAGATTGGGCATGAATTAAGGTTTGATGTTTCTGTGAATACCATCAGTGTATCACTGCCTTAAATTTCCTTTAGAGTTACTGTGAGCATAGCATGGAGGTTGGTCTGCCAGAGTTTTTTCCCCTCAACATCTGATCCTTCTTAAGCTCTAGGTCTTCCCATCACGCTGCCTCTCAGGAAGGGTCTATCAACTAGGATCTTGCAACTATTCTGGCAATATTCTACTGTTACTAGATGCTTGTTAGCCTAGTAGTGGATGGCTGGGGGAGAGGGGTGCACATTTGATATTGTTATGATTGAACCTCAGTCTCAGCCAGGCACTTCTCTAGCCATTGCTCTCTGCTAGGTGTCATGACTTAAATTCATTTCTAATTAAAAAAAGAAAATACAGCTATAAAAAGCCAAGTATTTAGGGGGAAATCAACCCTGATTTTATGATTTTATTAACTGCTTCATCATAGTAGATGAGTAGTTGAGATCTTATGTCAGAGTGCTTTAGAACTTTTGCCTCTTTTTCCTAGGCACCACACCAATCCAGTGGGCACTGAATGGCGGTGGAAGATGGACCAGCCTGAAGTGATCTTAAAGGAAGCCATTGAAAACCATCAGAACATGATCAAGCAGTTTAAAGGTATTTATTTTTTCCTGTAGAAAGAAATACTAATAGTCTGAATTAAATTGGCAGAGGAATTGCTTCTTTGGCAAGATTTTGTCCCTTTTGGCAAATTTTCATATGATAAGTGCAGATTTTGTAGAAATATTATATACATTGGCCCTTTTTAGTTTTTACTGATGAATTTTATGTCCCATGTGATGGAAGAACTAAAAAATTTAATTTTAAGCTCAGCAATTTATAATATGGTACCTCAGCCTGTACATTTTGTCTGGGAATGTATCATTGTCCTCTCTAAAAACTTTTGCTTTGTTTTGTTTTGTTGAGCACAAAGCAACCTATGAGTGGACTGAAAATTTTAGATCTTGGAAAATTTTTTAAGTAATGGCAGTTAGATGGTATTCGGAAAGCATTTTTTATTAAATGTCTTATAAAAAAGGAGGGATAAATGTTTCCTCCCCATGACCCATAATGATGTAGTAAAATTCTGATACTCAGTTTCTAGAATTTCCTGATTTTCTTGTGCCTTACCTTAAAGGCATTTGACTTTACTGGAGATAACTGGTTCTCAGACTTTAGTGAGCATCAGAATCATCTGGGGTGCTTGTTAAAACACAGATTCCTGGTCTCCATCCCCAGAGAATGATTAAGTCTGAGGTGGGGACCCAGAGAACACATTTCTGACAGGTGATGTGGTTAAACTGGGGATCACACTTTGAAAGCCACTGCTAGTTGGATGTATGAAGTGATGGCTTTATAAAGGCAGATGTATATGATGAACTAGAATTGTTAGGTTCTCTCATAAATAAATCTATGTGCTTCTGCCTCCACCTACCACTTGTAAGTCCTTATCTCTTATATTCTCTTTTCCTTTCGTATGCAACAATAAAAAATGAATTCCAACCAAGGTTATTTTGATGTGGTGCTAATGTCATATTTATAAACCCCAGTAATTAGTGTTTTTAAGATCAAGGGATTCTTTTATGCAAGGAAATTTGTTCTGTCAGTTCACTGCTTCTTGAGATTATAGTGCTTCTGAAGTGTGTTTTCCCCAATACTACCAAGCAGTAGTATAGACACTGATTAGCTGTGCTGCAATGTAACTCAATTTTGACACTATCAGAATTGTGGGGTAGCATTGTTCCCCACAGGTTAAGGCTTCAGTCTGACAAAACTGCCCCCATTTTAGGTGCCAGTTGCAAGTCAAGGTTGTTACCTGTACTTCTGACCGATTGGCTGTAAGTGGGAGGTTTCCAAAATCTCCTCCTCAGATTCGGTTAGTTTGTTAGAGAGGCTCACATGAGAACTCAGTATAACATTTACAGCAAGTCCTCATTGCAATAAGTTGTCGATAAGTTCTTAGAAATGGTGCCTTCACTGGATCTGGTGCTCCAGTGTATAATGAAACCAGTTTTACTACAGGCCAACTGAGATAAAGCATATTGTAGCAAAGCAAGCAAATTTATTAATGAAGCAAGGCAAGCAAATTTATTAAAAATATTAGTTACCCAGTGCATGAAATTTGTGCACGGTGGTGGTGCATGCCCCTCAGCTCGGCCTGCACCCTCTCCAATCTGGGACCCCTCAGGGGATGTCTGACTGCTCACAATCTGGGACTGCTGGCTCCTAACTCGGAGCTCCAGCGCGTCTTTCTTTGTTTTTATTTATTTAATTTTTTTTAGAGGAAAAGTCTATGATTTTTAATTAAAACTGACAAACTGTCAGGGACAGGAATGACAGAGGACCCATCCAAGGTGGATGGCATCCTGGGTTGGGGAGTGGGAACATTGTTGACACAGTTGTCAGAATTCAAATGGGGTCTGTGGATTGAACCCTAATACCATTTGAATGGCGATTTCCTCACGTGGTTGGGTGGAGAATTGCTATGTAGGAGTGTCTGCTTTTGGGAAATACACAGGGGAGTATCCCGGCATTCTGTCATGTGTGGAGCATGCTCTCAAACAGCTCAGAAAAAGACTGGGGGAAATGGGCATATATGTGTATAAATGTACACACTCACACACGGTCTAACCTTGCTATTTTCGACTCCACCTTTGCGCACCTGCCTACTTGCTAAGATCCGTAACTCCAGAATCAAGGCTTGCAGAGCTTCCTTGGCCATCGGGCCATGGCCAGGGTGCAGGAACCCTGCAGACAGACCCCCGGGCACGGTCCCAGCTGAGGTCCAGCAGGTGCCACTGTTTTCTTGTTTCCGCTCCAGTATGTGAACCGGGTCTGTTCCACGACGGGTGCTGTTGGGGCTTTGGCATCTCTGTGCTTTTCGCTGGCGCCTGGCTGTGGGGTGGCCAAGCTGGTGCTGCAGTGCTGCCGGTTCCCTGAGCCCGGGAAGACTGTGCGGTAAAATATGGAGAAAAGATGGCGTTGTGAGCAAGTTCAGGCTGCCCCATTTCAACCTGAAGGAATCAATAGCACCCATCACATGCAGTGTCCTTTTAACGGAGACACAGAGAGCGCTGCCCTGAGCACGCAGGGTGCCGGCTCACCGGGGCCCACAGACAACAACGATGGCCCCTTGCGGGTGATGTCATGAAGTTGTGATGCTGAGGCGACACCAGGGGTGAGTCCGGCTGCCAAGGCCACGTCCTGGCCCACATCCAGGCCTACGCCCCACAGCAAAGCCTGCGGTCTGGCACTGGTAGGCGGCTCAGGGAACTGACATGGCCATGTGGATACCACCGCAGTTTCTCTATGCACTTTTAATCCATCCGCGTTCTTCTGGAAAGAGGGCTTTTTCTGGATGGCCATGCTCCCCCGGGGGTGCCTGATGACCTGGGGCCTACCTGGCACCCCAGCCTCGCTGACCCCGTGGGCTGCTGCCCTAACAGCACCGTACCTCTGTGGCCCTCTGTGCAGCTCGCTAGCATGGTCTAGGGTGGTCCATCCATCTGCACAGCCCCCCAGGTCACCTAGCCACACGCGCTCGGGCCACTCCCGCCCAGACTCTGCTTCCCCCGCACCTGGCGGTGGGCCCAGTGCACCTGCGCAGAGCTCCCGCCTGGACAGTCATCTGCCTGGTCGTGACGGCCCTAGTCTATTATTAGTATAGATACTCGCCATGTATAATAGCACCAGGGGCCCACTCAGCTAATCCGAGCATGCACCTGGTGGTGGTGGTGGGGGGGGTTCATGGAGTTTTATATCTTCACAGGTTTCAAGGTACCTCTGCGGGATATCTTGGGTAGCAGGTTAGGGTTCAAAGTCCCTTTTCCTTTGTTGTGGCTTTTCTTGGGATGTTTGTACATACACCTGGTCATCTTATTTGGCATGTCCTGAGATGGCTAACTTCTTGTTCAATGTGTGAGATAAAATTCCCCCTTTTTTATTTTCCTTTCCCCCCAGGGTGATTTAAGTTATATATTCTCTGGTTAGGGAGGAGAGGGAGAGGTATTAACCATTTGCTCTCAGGTGTCCTTGGTTGGGGAAGATAAGGTCTTTTGATTCACAAGCTGGCTGCAAGGTGCCTAAACTGTGTCCTTTTTCAATTTTCTTGTTTTAGTTTCTCTGTTCCACTTGGCCAGGAACTTTCCTAGCTTCTTACTTTCCTGTCACACACTCACACACAACCACACTGACTCAGACTGGGACAATGTAGACATGCCAATTCACCTACCACATACAGTACATCTTGGGATATAGGAGGAAATTAGAGTACCCAGAGTAAATTCATACTGATATGGGCTGCATGTGTAGACTCCACATGACAGTAGCCCCAGCTGGGAATCAAGTTTTTTCCTCTCATCAATGTTATAACAAAAAAACGTTGCATGAAACTATGTTATCCAAGAACTGCTCTAATTATGTTTGTTCTAAGGGATATTATAGAAGATTAGAGGCCCGGTGCATGACATTTGTGCACTGGGTGGGGGAGGAGTCCCTCATTCTGGCCTGTGCCCTTTTTGGAGTCTGGGAGCCCTCGGGGGATGTCCGACTGATGGCTTAGGAAGTGGGCCTAAGCTGGCCCTTGGACATCCTCAGAGCTGCTGTGAAAGCAGGAGAGGCTCCCGCCACTGCCGCTGCGCTCACCAGCCGTGAGCCCAGCTTCTGGCTGAGCATCACTCCCCTGTGGGAGCACACTGACCACCAGGGGGAGCTCCTGCATTGAGTGTCTGGTCAGTGTGTGCCATAGTGACTGGTCTTTCTGCCATTCGGTCAATTTGCATATTAGTCTTTTATTATATAAGATAGTACTTCTTTCTTTCTTTATTTTTTATTTAAAAAATATTTTATTGATTTTTTTACAGAGAGGAAGAGAGAGGGATGGAGAGTTAGAAACATCAATGAGAGAGAATCATCGCTCAGCTGCCTCTTGCACACCCCTACTGGGGATGTGCCCGCAACCAAGGTACCTCCCTTTGACCGGAATTGAACCCGGGACCCTTCAGTCTGCAGGCCGACGCTCTATCCACTGAGCCAAACTGGTTTCGGCAAGATAGTACTTCTTATCATTGTTCTTATTTCTTATGAGAAGTTGAGGGAAGTAATGCAAATAATGATTCAAGACCAATAATAATGTATAGCCAATAATTATATCTTTATTCTTTTAAAAAAATTACTTATTTTTAATTTTTCCACTTTATTGATTTTTAGAGAGAGAGGAAGAGTGATAGAGAGATAGAAACATCTATAAGAGAAAGAAACATCCGGCAAGGCCCCTACTGGGAATCGATAATGAAACTTGGGCATGTGCCCTGACTGGGAATCAAACCAGTAACCACATTGGCCAAGCTAAAATTAATTTATTTTAAAAATTGAATTTATTGGGGTGATATTGGTTAATAAAATTATATAGTTTCAGGTATACAATTCAATAATAAATATGAATTTTCTGAGGAAAGTTTATCTGTGTACATTTGGGTATGTCTATGTGATGTAATTTTGTACATCTTCAAAGATGCTAATAAATGTTTTAATATTTCATCTTGACTTTTAATCTCAACCACTTTAAAAAAAATATTTTATTGATTTTTACAGAGAGGAAGGGAGAGGGATAGAGAGTT